CATCAAGCCACTCCCTGCCCCTCAAAGGCAAAACACAAGTGTTTGGTGGAAAACCAAACACAAAACTGTCGAGTCGATAGATCCTGAGGCTAGCTAGACACAGGGGTCAAGCTTCTCTTAGAACCTCGTGCAAAAGGTGCAAAAGGTGCAAGCTTCTCTTGGAAGCTTAGAAGGGTTCAAGCTTCTTGGAGAAGCTTGGAGCAAAGGTTCAAAAGGTTCAAGCTTCCCCAAGAAGCTAACACCAATGGTCCAAAAGGTTCAAGCTTCCTCAAGAAGCTAGAACCAAGGGTTCAAAAGGTTCAAAAGGTTCAAGCCTCCTTAAGAAGCTAGAACTAAGGGTTCAAAGGGTTCACGCTTCCACAAGAAGCTAAAATAGGGTTCAAAAGGTTCAACCCCTCTCAAGAAAAGTGCTCGGCCAGAAAAAGTGGCCGATCGACCAAAATTAGTGGCTGGCCGACCAAACAGAGTGCTGACCGGCCAAACATTTGGCCGATGGCAACAAAACACAGCCGGTGGCCTCAAGACATGGCCGGTGATGTGTGGGGATGGTCATCAAGCCACTCCCTGCCCCTCGAAGGCAAAACACAAGTGTTTGGTGGAAAACCAAACACAAAACAGTCGAGTCGAGAGATCATGAGGCAAGGCGCGCAGCCGAGACCTCCGGGAACTCATGACGAACACAAACAAGGACGATCACCGAGTGTTCAAACGGTGACGCCCAAGTCTTAAGAACGGTCAAAAATGCGGTGTCTACAGTTGCCCCTCTTTGACAGAACTCGAAAGTCATAAGAATGACGGGAGTGAGTGTCAAAGCCCAGAGACAACCCATTTTTGACAAGGTCGAAGACTTAGACAAAGCATACAAGCAGCAGACAAAGATATGCACCCGAGGGCAGGGGCAAAATGCAAGACCATGCACGAAACCGAGCATAACTTATGATTATGCAAGAAACATAGGGACGTATCCCGGTGTTTCGGAAAGGTATAAGCATTGGAACGTATTCCAAATGCTCTTAACCAAAGAGGAGGAAACATATGGACATATCCCGGTGTAGTTCAAATGGCCAAGAACTAGACCCTTTTGCACCCTCTAACCCACACAAATGTAGAGAGAGAGGGAGATATATAGAGAGAGGTGATATATATATGATATATATCAGATTTTCTAAACCTTGAAACAGGAGGAGAGGACCTCTATTTATAGAGAAGATGAAGGCTTGAAACTTCTAAGGGAAGCTAGGCAAAAGGGTCAAGGGGGTCAAGCTTCTGTTAGATGTTTGGAGCAAAAGGGCCACGCTTCCTGGAGAAGCTAGGCAAAGGGGTCAAGCTTCTCTTAGAACCTTGTGCAAAAGGTGCAAAATGTGCAAGCTTCTCTTGGAAGCATAGAAGGGTTCAAGCTTCTTGGAGAAGCTTAGAGCAAAGGTTCAAAAGGTTCAAGCTTCCCCAGGAAGCTAAAACCAAGGGTCCAAAAGGTTCAAGCTTCCGCAAGAAGCTAGAACCAAGGGTTCAAAAGGTTCAATAGATTCAAGCTTCCTTAAGAAGCTAGACCTAAGCGTTCAAAGGGTTCAAGCTTCCACAAGAAGCTAAAACAGGGGTTCAAAAGGTTCAAACCCTCTCAAGAAAAGTGCTCGGCCAGAAAAAGTGGCCGTTTGACCAAAATCAGTGGCCGGCCGACCAAACAGAGTGCCGACCGGCCAAACATTTGGCCGATGGAAACAAAACACAGCCGGTGGCCTCAAGACATGGCCGGTGATGTGTGGGGATGGCCATCAAGCCACTCCCTGCCCCTTAAAGGCAAAACACAAGTGTTTGGTGGAAAACCAAACACAAAACAGTCGAGTCGAGAGATCCTGAGGCATGGCGCGTAGCCGAGACCTCCGGGAACTCAAGACGAACACAAACAAGGACGATCACCGAGTGTTCAAACGGTGACGGCCAAGTCGTGAGGACGGTCAAAAATGGGGTGTCTACAGTTGCCACTCTTTGACAGAACTCGAAAGTCGTAAGAATGACGGGAGTGAGTGTCAAAGCCCAGAGACGACCCATTTTTGAGAAGGCCGAAGACTTAGACAAAGCATACAACCAGCAGACAAAGATATGCGCCCGAGGGTAGGGGCAAACTGCAAGACAATGCACGAAGCCAAGCATAACTTATGATCATGCAAGAAACATAGGGACGTATCCCGGTGTTTCGGAAAGGTATAAGCATTGGAACGTATCCCAAATGCTCTTAACCAAAGAGGGGAAACATAGGGACATATCCCGGTGTAGTCAAATGGCCAAGAACTAGACCCTTTTGCACCCTCTAACCCACACAAATGTAGAGAGAGAGGCAGATATATAGAGAGAGAGTGATATATGTATGATATATATCAGATTTTCTAACCTTTGAAATGGGAGGAGAGGCCCTCCATTTATAGAGAAGATGAAGGCTTGAAGCTTCTAAGGGAAGCTAGGCAAAAGGGTCAAGGGGGTCAAGCTTCTTTTTTTTGGGTGAAGAAGGGGGATCAAGTTTCTCTTAGAAGCTTGGAGCAAATGGGCCAAGCTTCTTGGAGAAGCTAGGCAAAGGGGTCAAGCTTCTCTTAGAACCTCGTGCAAAAGGTTACAACTATAAATAACTGTACTTGTCACTCAATATGACCATACTCAACAATATTTTTGGATATAAAACCTAAAATTTATAGTTTTGTACCATAATTAGACCCAATCATATAAGACATTTGTCATTAAGACCACTTAATAAAGTGTTTAGTTGGTATGTTTGTTGATATATTAGTTAGCGTTTCTAATATTTTTGTTTTGGTATAATGACATTTTAGTAATGTGATGGACCAGGATTCTGCAGAAACATTTATAAAGAAAGTCTCTAACAAAGATGAAGAATTTGAATACTAGGGTAAAATACTAACAATAATTAAGATTGCAAATAAGTTGAATTGAGTAATAAGTTGTTCAAATTTGATTTAAAAATTTAATGAGTCTTATAACGTGTTTAATCTTTAGACTGTTTACATAACAAGTCAATCGTGAACAATTTAGACACGAGTCCAGCTCAAGTTTTTATAGTATATAAATAGGTTTATTGAGCTAAGTAATAGATTGTTAAAACTTAATTTGGAAATCTTAATAAATCTTAAAATCTATTCCAATTCGACATATTTTTTTGAAATTTGCAAGTGGAGAGTGGGGTAAGATCTCTCTTCTTTTTTTCTTTGTTTTTTTTTGGCAAAAAACAGAGTAATTCATTGATAGAGATAAAGATTACAAGAGTTTAAACATCCATACAATACCATACAGCACCAAATACAAAATAGATTCAAAAGATTCAAATTTAAGTACATGGTGTCACTCTCACCATGAACATGTCCAGTGACAATAATCACACACCATCCAAGAGTGGTTTAGTGGTTTAGTAAATATGAAGTCATGAATTCAAGTCTTATAAATAAAGCAAATTTTTTGGTCAAAATTTTCATAAATATTTACTTTTTAAGCACATCTAAGAAAAACTAAAATATGAAAGGAAGAAAAAAAAAACACAAATAACAAAATTGTCAAACGAAATAAAAAAAACAAAAAACAAAAAACAAAAATTTCCACTAGAGCAACTCGTTTTTTTCTTTTTATTTATTTATTTATTTTTATGGAAAATGTGTAATTAGTGGGAAAAAACAACACAGTATTCTGATGTGAATTAGTGGGAAAAATTGTGTTCGTCATGCAGCTTTGCTTGCAATATGCAGACACATTCACAATCACTATAATACCCCTAAATTTCTTGGCACCTGAAGCATATTGATCAATATTACGTTGTCAAAACGAATATGCTTGGAATTTTAATATGAAATTGAAGTAATGATAGAAATCATCATCCCACCGATGCATACCCACAACCTATACACCACAGGAAAATTATAAGTACAAGAGAGGGCGAGGTAACTATTGAGAAGCATAACCGTCACATTGATATTAACGTTTTTCATATTCTCAACAAACCGTCACTCCTGCCTTGTTCACTTGTACTTTTCCATTATTCTTCTCGCTTCTTCTAAGCTGTCCTCCTCAGTAGTAGTAGTAGTGCCTCCTCCCCCTTTTGGGCCATCGTCCTTGTTCAAGGCTATAAATGTGAAATATATGAGTCCCATCACCGCCTGTTACAAAAAGAAAATTCAAAAAAAAACAAAAAAAACCCATGAAGTTATGACATTCAAAACGATGATGTACAGACACTGACATCATGCTTATTGGCAAAAAAATAAAATAAAAGACATCTAACATGCGTGCACAATGAAGGGAATCAACTAATGCAGTGGGTTGCCTTTAAAGTTGACTATATAGTTAGGTACATTTTAACACCATAAGACACAGATTTCTTGTGCCTATTTGAAGATCGATTGAAAACGTTTAACAAACATGGTGTTTTCTTACCTAATATTGGTATTTTCTAAATTCTTCAGCGGACCATCTTGGAACATCACCAGTTAAAAAGGCATTAGCAAGGAAAAACAAAATTCAAGTCCTCAATAGACAAATCCTTTTTTTTTCCACGTGTAAGATAAGTACATTAAGACTCTCAAATGATGTAGTTAGCACCCTTTTTATGTAGACATGCAATAGAGACACATAATGGCATCCCCACACCCATAACACTGCATACCTAACAGCTATGTTTGGATTAAGGATCTGAGTGGGGATTTGTGGAAGGCAAGGAAAAATTCACTGTTCCCTTCCTTTTCCTTTTACTCCACAAATTCTTGATCCAAACGTAACCTATGTGAGATTATAGGGAGTTTTAGTGCCCATCTATCTTCTTCCATGATATTCACATGTCCACAAACCACAAACCACAAACAAAAGAAATTTCTGATTCATCAGTAAGAGTAATTCCTACTAGTTACTTCTTCAAATCAAATCAAGCATAAAGTCCCATCAAATGGGATCGGCTAAATGAATCCTCATCCTCCACTCGACTATGTTAAAGGCCATTTGGTTAGTCAAATTAAAGATACTCATATTTCTAGTTACTACACTAACCCACGTCAATTTAGGTTTGCTCTTTCCCCCAACACTTCACTCTACTGTCATTGTATCACATTTTTTTACTACTGCCTCTGTTGGTCTCCATTGTATATGACCAAACCATCTCAATCTATTCTCTCTTAGCTTATCTTCTATCGGTGCTACTCCTACCTATTCACGAATATACTCATTCCTTGTTCTCCACTAGTTGCTTCTTCACATTAGAGAAATTCCTTGGAAACCAGTAAAGCACAATCACACACAAGACAATATGCCCCTCCCTTAATCAAGAGAAATTTAACCAATTTTCTTTTTCCTATCAAAATTGACAAACAAAAGAAATTACATGAGAATCACAGAGACATAAAGAAATATATTGACAACATACCAGCACAAAGAAAGCTGTAGACAAAACCGATTTGAGAACAAAAAGTGCAAGGGCCACAGCAACTACAGTAAGAGAAATCCTTGCTATTGGTCTTGGAACAGAATCCTATCACCCAAATGAAAAGTACACAAATAAATTTTTTGTAATGTGAATAAGAATTATATAAACTGGATTTGAACTAACTATGACTGCAATCAGATCTTTACATGAGTTGAACAGAAGAGAGAGAAGATGAACTTACAGGCACCATATTGGCTCCAGCTTCAATTCCATCATTACCCACCTTCCATACCGTTTGAAGAACTACTCCACAGAATATGTAAGGCCAATTATCAGGAAATGAAAACTTGAAGGCCAAATTTGGCATCATCCAAAAAATTTAAAAAGCCAAAAAGTCACTAAAAAAGCAAAACAGTCCAATACTACTTATCACTTTTTTGGCGGGAAATCTGTCAACTAAAAAAAAAAAAAAGAAAAAAAGAAAAGAAGTGCAAAACGGCGCTGCACAACACTGTGCAGCCACACATCCCAATTGGTTTGATGACGTGGCACACTTTTAAGCCACACATGCCATAAAAAAAAAAAAAAAAAAAGAAAGAAAAGGGACAGCAAGGACACAAAAAAAAAATGAAAAGGGACAGCAAGTACACTACACAGTCCAGCTACTTGTGTCAGTGAGGATAATATGGTAATTTTACAATTTTATACAATATTTTAATACACATTTTTTCATAAAAAATCAAAAAGTTAACCCAAACATCTATATTTTTTTCCTCTACTTTTTAGTCCAAAAAGACAAAAAATGCACTTATTTAGGATACCTCAAACAACCCCTAAACTGTAGTTGCTGCATGGTTTATAAATTGCACTATCTCGTAAAGTATCCACAGTATTTGCTTCCACTACATTATAATACAATGGGAGGGAGGAAAGTTAATACCATAAGGCAATTGAAGGGCCTAACTTTTTAAGCATGATGACACCTTATATGCTCATTGGTCTCCCTATACCAGTTTCAATGTGTGACAGTTTTTTTTTTTTTTTTTGCTAAAAATATAAAACAAGAGAGGGGAAAGCCAACACAGTAGACAATAGGTACATGGAATTGCAATTATCAAGATTAATTACAACTATGAAGTAGGGTTACAGCAATGGATAAGGGATGTTGGGTATAACATGGTATGGATACATTGATACATCAAGAATCTATAAAGCACGGACACCTCTTTGAGGGCCGCATATCAGTCAGACACGTGCCGGACACGGACATGCACTGAAGAGAGTGTCCCTTTTTTTATTTTTTTTTCGCAAACAGACACGTAAGGGACACGTTTGGAAACGTTCGGGACACCACGGGTCATAAATATAATTTCTGAAACTTCAAGTAGGGGTCAATTTGTAAAAAACAAAAATTAAAAATCAATTGCTAACCTAGTTTTTAACAGAGAGAAGAGAAGAGACTAAGAGAAAGGCTCATCAGTGGTCGCTGGTGGCTTGTCTCTGATCGGTTGTTGCTGGTGGGTCGGAGCTGGTCGGAGCTCGTTGGTCTCTGCTTGTTGCTCGATGGTCGTTGCACGTAAGGTATGTTGCTCGATTCTCTTCTTCTTCTTTCCTCTCTCTCGATCTCTCTCTCTCTCTCTCTCTCTCTCTCTTCTCTTTTATGCTCATTCGAATCCCTCTCTCTCTCTTCTATTTTATTTTTTATTTTTCTTCTTCAAAAAAAATTTTTTGGTGGCTTTTCTCTCAATTTGTTTGTCTTATTTATTTAATGTGTATATATATATATATTTTGCTAATTAGTTTACAAGAACAATTTTTTTTATTAATTTTAATAATATGTGTTTATTAATTTTATAATTTTATGACGTATAATAAATAATTTTAATTATGTATATTAAACGTGTCATCAACGTGTCGTGTCCCTATTTTTTAAACATTTGCATATTCGCGTGTCTGTATCGTGTGGAGTGTCCGTGTCATGTCGTGTCGTGTCCGTGTCTATGTCGTGTCATGTGTAAGTGTCCGTACTTCATAGTCAAGAATACAATTATATATGCATGTATATAAATAATTTAGAAAGTAATGTTGTCATAACATATTTGTAACAAACTATTTACTGTTATTTATCAACCAATATTCTCAATTTGAAACTTTTAATAGATAAACCAAACCAAACCAAACCAAACCAAACCAAGCCAAACCTTAAGTCCCATCAAATGGGGTCGGCTACATGAATCCTTATTCTCCACGCGGCCCTATCAAAGGCCATTTCATTAGTCAAATTAAGTAGATTCATATCTCTATTTATAACACTAGTCAACGTTAATCTAAGCCTACCCCGTCCCTAACACTTCCATCTATCGTTACAGCATCGCATCTCTTCACTACTGCCTCTGTTGGTCTCCGTTGAATATGACCAAACCATCTCAAACGATTCTCTCTCAACTTATCTTCTATCGGTGCTACTCCTATCCATTCTCGAATACACTCATTCCTAATCCTGTCCTGTCTAGTCTTACCACACATCCACCTTAGCATCCTCATCTCAGCCACACTCATCTTATCTACATGTTGTTTCTTGGTTGCCCAACACTCCGTCCCATACAACATAGCTGGTCTAATAGCCGTTCTATAGAACTTACCTTTTAGTCTAGTGGGTATTCGTTTATCGCACAATACCCCAGACGCACTTCTCTACTTACACCATCCCGCCTTAATCCTATGGGCCACATCTGCATCAATCTCTCCCGCTGTTGTGATAATCGACCCTAAATAACGAAAATGTTCACTCTTAGGCAGTTCTTGGTTCTCAATCTTCACTTCTCCTCTGCTTTCACTGTTACTGTTACGAAATTTACACTCCATGTACTCTGTCTTAGTTCTGCTTATCCGAAATCCTTTAGATTCAAGAGCTTTTCTCCAAATCTCCAACTTTGTATTAACTCCTCTAGTCTCATCCACTAACACAATATCGTCTGCAAAAAGCTTACACCATGGTACGTAATCCTGAATATTTATCGTCAACTCGTCCATAACTAAAACAAAAAGATAAGGACTTAAGGTAGATCCTTGGTGTAACCCTACAGTGATAGGAAATTCATTTGTTTCTCCAGCTGGCGATCTAATAGTGGTCACCACCCCTTCATACATGTCCCTAATCACGTCAATGTACCCTTTTGTCACCCCTTTCTTCTCTAACGCCCACCATACTATATCTCGGAGCATTCTGTCATATGTTTTCTCAAGGTCGATAAACACCATATGAAACTTTAAATAGATTCGCAAAAAAAATTAAAGCTGTGTTTGGAAGGATTTTTAAATTATAATCCTACCCACACATTCTAACACCATGTTTGGATAGGGTTTTCAAATTATATTTCCACAACAAACAGAAAACTCTATCGCAGGCGCAATTTTAAAATATATATATTTTTTTATTTTTTTTTAAATTTGGCTTAACCAGTCGTCCGGAATAGTGTTCGATTTTTTTTTTTTTTTTTTTTTTTTTTTTTTTTTTTGTATCTGTTATTTTTATATTATAAAAAAAAAATATTTGCGAAATTTTTTTGAGTTTTAAATAGAATTTTGGGTTGTGTGTTTGATTATGAGTTGTAAGTTTTTGTATCAAATATCATATGTTACATCACTCAATTCAAACTCAATTTAAAACTCTTTTCAAAACTTATAAGCAAACAAATTTTCCACACTCAAATCATAATTTCAACACTCACAAACTCAAAATACAACTCTATTCTCAAATCATAATTCTAAAACTCTACCAAACACTACCTAAACTTCTATTATGTGGACTCAAACTTTGATCGTATTTGACATGCTTTAATCTCAATATTTCCCAATTCCAAGGAATATTCGGACTATTGAAAGCTATTCTTATATTTACCTTAACAATCATGCTACTCAACAAATGCTTCATCTTAATTTCAAGATAGGTATCCAAAAAGTATCGAGTACTTATTTAAATTTAAACAAATTAATTTCGAATTATGAAAACATTTAGGAAGTACTAAAGATTCAAATACACATTATCAAAATATCCGATATGGATACGGCTCCTAAAATATATGTGCTTCATAAACTTTAAATTTCGAATAAAGAACGCCTATTAGGAACCATATGCTGACTTGGGAACTACATCCAGTGTGTTTATCATAATAGCAAAAACGTTTAAGCTAGTTACTTGCGAAGGATTTCACACGGAAATGTTTTCTTCCAATGTCAACAATAATTCAACTTACGCTCTATACTAAATTTCTGTGGCAAACACTACACAATGACATTCTCAAGTCTAGTTATTCCCCAAACTTTGACTGGTTATGGATTGTTATTTCAGGGATACCACAACATCAATTTTCATTCCTGGATAATATGTGATCTTATGAACTACTTTCACTGATCATAGACTGTTATCTCCTTTTAAAAAGTTACCATTATGCATTAATATTTATGAATTTGAAGCCATGGCACACTATTAAACTACAATTAAGTCCTTTATGACAGCATTTAAATGAAAGTTGTGAGTCACATCATTTCTGGGCTCACCAATCTAACACTGCAGGAGCCAATGTTCAGTATAATCAAACAAATTACTATAATGGGAAGACAACATAACAAGTAGAATTATTGCACAATCATTTCAAATCGCTACCACTACATGTAAATACTTCAACAGGCTCAAAAATCATTGAGGTAAGGTTGCGTCCAACTTATCCCTATGCACCATGTTGCTTTAAAATAAATTTAATAATCTTCATACCATATACAAACCGCAATTTTTCTAGGGGAAATATGAATACAAAGTACGTTTAAAAAAAAAAAAAAAAATCAGATTAGTGGAAAATTACAAATTAATAATTAAAGTCTTAAACACTTCCATGAATCTGTAATTATTTTGTGAAACTACCACTAAATTGTGATTTCCCCATTTCTCTTTCTTTCATAAAAATCAAATGAGTATCATCCACAGGTGATCAAATTTCAAGAAACCCACAAAAGAACTAACTGAAGCTATAAAATTAGGGCAAATTTCAGAAGCACTGTAAAGTAACAATTAAGGAAAATTTCAGAGGAAAAAAGCTAATTACCTTTCAAGAAATTGGACTGTGCAGCGAAGACGACAGGAATGGAGTGAAATTTGTGGGTTTTGAGCTTCTTGAAATGAATGGTTGAGAGTAAAGATTGGTTCTTCAACAATGAAAGGGAATTGGACGAAAGAAACTGAGAAGGGTTCAGAGCTAGGGTTTGTTTCTTGTAACATGTTGCAGAGTTGTGTGAAATACAGCAAAAATTATGGAGAATAAGTGTTGAAGCCATGAATGTGTATATGTGAGTGTGAGTGTGTGTGTGTGTGTGTACAATCCTCTAATTAAGGAGTGGACTCTGAGAGTGGCTCTCCGTATGCGAGAGAGTTCACCTTTTTTTTGTTTTTTGTTTTTTTTTCAAAGTTGGAGAGAGAGAGAGAGAGGGCACAAAGCACATCATAAAAACGAAATTAGATGCATTTTCAGAATTGTTTTTATTTTTTTTAAATAATTAAAAATTAATTTAATGACAAAATAATATATATATATATATATTTTTGTTGCATTAATATATTTTAGTATTTATTTTTGTCAAATTATTTTTTATTTTTTTTAAAAAAAATGGCAAAATCAAAAATCAAATTAATTTGATATATTTGGGGTGAGTTGGCTATCACCATTTCAATATCTTATTTATTTGGCAAATCAAGATAGATGAAATTATCAATAGAAAAATATTTGAAATATTTAATTTATTATTTTTAAAAATAAAAATGTTACAGACCCACGTAGATGACCTAATAATGCCACCTAAGCAACTGGACCCACTTGTAAGTAGGGTTGTTTTGTCTCTCACCTCACAAGAAATAATTGATTGGCGTAGGCCAGCACTATGTAACGTTCCACATGTGTATGCATTGTGATGGGTGGGGTAGCGGGGCTTGCAATTTTATATTCGGTGAGTAGAGAATATAAGAGAATATAAAAGTTTGTGATTAGTTTGATATATGGTCGCGTATTGTTTCAGAATTAATTAATAATTTTTTCTTTCCTACGAACCAATAAAAGTAAGGAAAATGCAGCCATTATATAGTCTTTACTCTTTTAAAAAATAATTCTTTGCCTACAACATTTAATTTATTTTTTGCATTAAGAGTAAAACACTTTCTTTTTTTTTTCGTTGGTAAAACACTAATAAATCTCAAAATGTGATATTGTGAACTGTTTAATCTTTTTCTTTTTTCTTATGAACCCAAAGGTTTCATTAAAATGAAAATTACACAAAAAGGTAATCACTTACACGTTTTGATTTAATTTTTTAGGGATAAAAATGGATTTCTCTAAGTATGAAATTACACATTTGAAAATTTTGCACTATAAAAATTTTGGATTTTCCCTCCTTAAACAAATCTCGCATTACAAATAAGAACATAACACTCTTATAAAACACTCGAATAACGTAACATTTCAATGTAACATACTAAAAAAGTCTTTAGTGTACTTTTTTTCAAATATAACAACATGACACTTTGAACTTTTTTCCAAATGTAAGACTCTGACGTAACACATTCCAATGTAACACACCAAAAATTTTCTTAGTATACTTTTTCTAAATATAATCTCAAATGTAACATTCTAATGTAACACACATAAAAACACTACTTAGTATACTTTTTTCAAATGTAACACTCACAGTTTGAAATTATACATTTATCTAAAACTTACTAACGAATTTTTGTATTCCTTTTGGAATGGTTTGAAAAATCCCACATCATTTTAGAATGGTTTGAAGAATCTCACATCCTTTTTTTGGAGTGTTACATTGGAATATTACGTTTAGAAAAAATATACTAAGGAATTGTTTTGTATGTTACATTGAAGTGTTAGACTAAGGAGTTTTTTTTTTATAGTATTATATTGCAGTGTTATGTTTAGAAAAAGTATAATAAGGAGTTTTTTTTTTTTTTGAGTGTTATATAGGAGTGTTACAAATTAAAATTGTATATTTGCTACTGCTAAAATACTTGAACAATCCTACATCCTTTTGGAATGTTTGAAGAATTCTCTATCTCAATTCATTCCAAATAAAAAAGATTTTCATATAAAAATTCATCCCAAATTTGATTATCATAAGTTGTGTATATTACCTTTCTAACATAAAAGGAAAAAAAAAAATCCAAAAGAAGAAAAAATAATAGAAATAAGGGAGACTTATTTATAAGTCTTTTTTCAGACACTTATGGTAGCCTAAGTCCTGTGTAATTTCTTATAGAGTCTCAAGTCCTATTTAGATAGGAATGTATTCCACAAGATCCTATATAAACGTAACGTGACGTGACACTTATATAAATGTAACGTAATGTGACACCTACATAAACGTAACGTAACGTGACATCTAAATAAACGTAACGCAACGTGTCACGTTACGTTTTGCAAACTTAATGAGTTTTTATTTTTTTAAATTGAATGTGAAAATGTTGCTGGTTTATGTTGGTGTCACGTTACGTTTCATATAAATATGATCTATAGGAAATTGAATGTTGCCATAGATCATAGGTGTCACGTTACGTTTATGTAGGTGTCACGTTACGTTACATTTATGTAGATATGATTTATGGTAACATGCAATTTCCTATATCATAGGTGTCACATTACGTTTATGTAGGTATCACGTCACGTTCATATAGGTGTCACGTTACGTTACGTTTATATAGATATAATCTATGGTAACATTCAATTTCATATATATGGTTTTACTATTATTTATGATATTAACAACTAATATTGAGGGTAAATGTGTCAACAAACTTCCCACAGGACTTATGGGAACAAAAGTTTTTTAGTAGGACCATATATAGCATAAGTCTCCCTAATAAGACTTATAAATAATTTTCCCTAGAAATAAAGGTATAACCATAAATCTAATTTTTAAATAATATATTAAATCTTCCTTTCCAAAATCAACGAGACTAATTGGTCTATAAGAAAACTCATGCAACTAATCGGATCGCCTTTCCTCATGATGAGATTTATAGGTAAATTTTTCCTTTTTCTTTAGTATTAAATAGTGTATATGTATAAATTTCTAATCTATTCTCATTTAGGTTTATTTTGGCAACATAAACTTTTAGCTAAAAAGTTATTAAAAAAATAGTTATTCTCTTTATTTTTTACACTTTTTTTTATTGTAAAAAACTAAAAAATACTAAAAAGTTAATTCTTAAAACAACCCTTGATATGGGAATAGGCTATTTTAATAACTTTTTTTTTATTTTTTAATTAAAATATATATGAGGTAAAAAAATAGTATGTTTGGGTTAATTTTTTGGCTTATTACGGAAAAAATGTGCAAAAAATAAAGAGGGAAGAGAATATTTGATTTTTTTAATATAATTATTTAATTTTTTTAGATTTTTAGTGACTTCTTCTTAACTTTTTAGCTATTATTATAACTTTCCAAACTCGCCTAACTAAAAAATATGACCACTGTGTATTTGTACCTCTATCATCCCTCCCTTATTGATAAGGTAAACATTTACTCTAATGAATAAATAATAAAATTTTACTTATAAAAAAAAATGAGAAATAAGATTAAGTTGGAATTAAATACTTTTATGAATAATTTCATACAATAAATATTAATTCATGAAATTTAACTTGTATAAGAAAATTTGGAAAATTACATTCATAGTCGGTGTAATTTGTTTCTTAGATCAATATAATCTTTGTAATTCTAATTGATGAATTAATTCAATTAATGATATCTATTTTAAAATTAGATGGACATCAAACGGTGAAGTAATTAATTGATTAATGGTAGTTGGCATACGCCATCCATATACAATTCAAATAAGTAAAAGCAAAATAAAATATTTATTATATATTGTATGCCACTTGAGTGATAAAAATCTTTTCTAGTAAGTCTAACGTTTGAGTCTCATTCTCAATTCGTTGTTTTAGTAATCGACTTTTATTGATTTTTTTAATTTTTACAAAAAGATATATAAAAAAATAAAATGAAAAGTTATTTTTTTGTAGTGATTTTTTAACTTGCCATTTATAAATGTACACTGTTTAATACTCAAGAAAAAAAAAAAAGTGTTTCATTTTTAAAGAAAAAAAAAATATTCGTTTGGTTTAGTTTTTGAAATGAGTTTTGAGTTTTGAATTGTGTTTTGAAAGATAAGTGAAAAATCTAAAATTCCCGAAATATTGATTTGTGACTATATATCAATTTTAAGTACTAAGTAGCAATTTTAATCAAGCAATCAAAAATAAATCGACATAACGATTTTACGTGAAAAAAACACAATTGGAGCGCCTCCAATTGTGATAAAAAAAACCATGGACAAAAGTCACAAAACAATCCACTAAGAAGATACAAAGGAATTACACAAGTGTACTCTTAATTACCTAGCGAATCCACGCTCAAATTGAACTAACCCCTATGTGCATCTTCCAACCCTGTCTTTACCTCGGAATTATCTTGCCCAACGTTGAATCCACAATGCCGATATCAAATCGACAACGATGAGCCACTCTAGAATCCACCAAAACTTTAGGCTCAAATTCTACGGAATCCACTGAAGAATAACTCTCTCTTTTTGAATAAAACAAACTAAACAAACCCTTTGATATAATCCACTCAATTCATGATTAACCTCACAGATATCAAAGGAAGCAAGCAAAAAAACTCCAGATGAAAACCATAATACCCAAGAAAAAGATCTGGAAGCCATCCCTTAAAACTTGACTGAACCGCAACTTTTATAGCAAACAGAACTGCGATCTCCGCTCAAGTGCAATAATGGCCACTCAAGCAAATTGACTAAAACGCGTGTTTCAGAACAAGGGTCTACGCTCGAGCATAGTAAAGGCCGCTCGAGCGGAAAAAAACAACTCCCAGTACTTTTGCAAGCGAGTGAAACTTCTGAAAGGTCATAATCTCTACTCGAGTGGAGGAATGGCTGCTCAAGCGGTCAAACAACTTCGACTGCAATTTTGTTTTTTTGTTTCGGGGGCATTGCCCTTCGACATAGTCAGCGAAGTGGCAAACATGATAGGATTCAGATCACAAACTCCTCTGCATAGGCACAATTCGGGTTGGATTCGCATCTGAATACTCATAGCCTCATTGAAATAAATGAACAAATAAAATTATAATTGAAAAAAGTTTTGTCAAACGGGATTGCCAGTAACAAAAACCTCACAATAAGTTTTTGAAATGAGATTTGAAATGTGAAAACTTCCTTTGTTATGAATTTTGAAATGAGTTTTGAAAACAATTTTAAGTTTTGAGTTGTATTTTGAAATTATTTTGGGTTTTTTTAAAAATATTTTCAATTTTTTTTATTTTTTAGGGTAAATATTTTTTATTATAAATATTTATTTATTTTTTTTAATGTGCACTGTAT